AAAATAGCGTTGTAAGGGGCTTAATAACGATAATACCTCTACTAACCACTAACTTCGCAACCCCCTTATTGCTCGAAAAAACCCCTACCTATCCTTCAATTTTAGCCATTCCTACTTTCGCACCCCTTCCCACAGCTTTTGTAGACCCTTTAAAGGGTTTGGGTTAAATTTTAATAGAAAAAACGATGTAAGGGGCCTTTAAATGAAGTGGCCCCGTTGATAACGATGAAAATGGCGAAATTAATAACGAAAAAGGAGTGTAAAAACGTTAAAGGGCCCAGTGTAACGGTAACGGGACTTTTAATGATGAAAAGGAAAATAGTAATAACAATGATTAAAGGGTCGTTAATATCGGTTATAAAATTCGGCTTCAAACAACGGAAATAAGGGAAAGCCACTAATTGGAAAGTGTTGCGTAGCAACAACGTACTAAAATGTCACCACTAATGCATTAAAAAAATCCTCCGCCCTGTCACGGGAAAGTGCCTTGATGCGGGGGCTTTGTACCTTCATGGGAGTGCTTATACAGGGCCCTTTTGATTCCTTCATGGGGGCCTTGATCAGGGCTCTTGATACTTACGGGGGGGCCTTGATGCAGGGCTCTTGTACCTTCACACACCAACCACCACCACCACACACACACACACACACACCACTACACATACACATACACAACACACATCACACACCACACCACACCCCACCACACACACCCCCCACACACACACAAAAAATACACTACACACCACACACACCACACCCATACACACACACACACAACACACACCCCACACACAACACACCCCAAACCACACGAACCACCACACAAAACACACCCCCAAACACCCCACAACACACACACCACACACACACACCACACAACAACACCAAACACACACCAAAACCACCACACACACACACCCACACACACAAAACCACACACACATAATCCACACACACCACACAACAAAAACCACCCCACAACACACACACACACACACAACACAAACAACACACCACACAAACACACAAAACCCACACATAACATACACATACACAACACACACCCAACACACAAAAACCCACCCCAAAAACCACACAACAACTCCACACCACACACAACTACACACACAGGTGGAAAAAACTACAAAAAACGATCAAGGGGTAGTGAGGAGCTAACACGGATTTAAGGAAAAGTTTTTACAGTGGACAGGAAGGATTGGGGGGGACGCCGAGGGGGGGACCCGCAAGGAAACCCCCCGCAAGTGTTGGGGCATACATCGTGAGGAGGAGGTGAAGAAACTGCTAAGGGGACACGATCCCTAAAAGGAAAATGGGACGGAAAAAACCTCTCTGGGTCCTTAGAGGGGAGATTTTTGTGGTGCACTTACCCAATCTTCACCATCCCGGGAAAACGGGGAACTCCCTGAGGTATGGAAGACGGCAAAGTATTCCCATTTTCAAAAAAGGAGACAGAAAAGGGCACTAAACTATAGCCCGTGTCATTGAGGGGTTAGTATGCAAAAAATTTTGGGAAGATTATCGGGAGTGGTTTGGGGAAACCCGGAAGGAAAAAAGGGTTTTAAATGCCCAAACCGCAGGATTCACGGAAGGGGAAATCCTGTGTCACAAAACCTTCTGGAGTTTTATGATAAAATAACAGAAAATAAAACAAGGAGGAGGGGTGGGTTGTTTTCATTTCTTGGCTGCAAAAAAGGCCCTTTTAACAGTTTTCACAGAATTAGGCAGAAAACTAGAGTCAGGCGCTTAAAAAGGAAGGGGACGCAATGGGTCAGAGAATACCTGACGGGAGGCAACAACGAGTATGTAGTAATGGTATCACGTGGGCACCCGTGACGGCGGGGGTCCCCAGGGGTGTCCTAGGACCGTTATTTTTGGTTTGTGAACGACTGAGGAAAAGGGTTTGCTAGAATTGTCTCGTTTGCAGATGTGTGAAGTTAATAGGGGGGAATTTAAAATTTATGGGAAGGCAGGGGCCCAAAAGACCCGGACGATGGACACCGGTCCAGAAAAATTGGTTCTCGAATTTAATCCCGCCAAATGAAAGTCATGAAAATAGGGGAAGGGCAAGAAGACCCAGAAGAGTATGGCTAGGTGGCCCAAAAATGCAAACCTCACTCAAGGGGGGAAAAGATCTTGGGGTGGTTAACACCGAGCATGTCTGGAAGACACATTCAGATAATGCTGCAGCATATGGGGCCCGGCAAACCTGAGAACGCTTCCGATACCCTTTGTAAGGAAAACATTCAAAAACACTGTACCCGTGTATGTCGGGCCCTTTCTGGGTTGCAGCACTGTTTTGGAACCCCCCCCTTGATAAAGCACGTCAGAAACTAGAGAAAAGTCAAGGTTTGCGAAAGGTTAGTTCCGAGTAAGGGGGAAGTCTATGAAGAAAGATTAAGGGAAATCGGCCCCCCGCACTGGGGAAAAGGGGGGTCAGGGGAGGGCATGATAACGCATATAAATACTGCGTGGAATGACAAGGTGGACAAAGACAGGTGTTCCCGGGGGGGGACACAGAAACAAGGGCCACCCAAATTGGAAGTAAAAAACACAAAGGAGTGAGAGTAGAGGAAGTATTTCTTTTGTCTAGAGTTGTAAGGCAGTGGAAAAGTAGAAAAAGCGATGGAGGCAGGAACCTACACAGTTTTTTTAAAACGGGTTTGATAAAGCTCATGGGGGGGGGGAGAGAGGGCCTAAGTGCAACCGGTGAAGGGGGGGCCCGGGCTAGGACTGACCCCTGCACCCAAAAAGGTGATTTCACACACACACCCACCACACACCACACACACACCCCACCACACACCAACCAAAACAACAACACACACACTCAACACCATAACACATACACACCACACAACACAACCACCAAACCCCAAAACAACACAAACACACAACACCACCCCACACACACAACAAACCACACACAAAACACACCACACACAAACACACACACACACAAATTATATCGACTTCATTTCAACTCTTAGAATGTGGAATGAATTGTTTGTTCTGTGTAATTTTTGTAACCTAATTAATGGTGATCGTTTTGGAAAAATACTAAAATTATTATAGTATTGTGTCATAGCTTAGTTATATCCGCTGACGTTGGAAAAAGATCACTAAGATTGATACAGTGTTGTGTCATATAGCTGACCCGCTCGAAACCACATCAATGTCGACTGATTCTTGTTTGGCATCCTTGAAGAAATCAGTAGTGTTTGGTGAACCACTCTTATAGACTTCTGTCGATCACAATACTTTCTGACAATCTCTATCCGCAATACATTATTATTTTCTTCTACCTTTAAAATAGGTTGCACATGTAAGGAAAATTGAGAGCTGACAAAGATCGATTGGCGAGATGCATTGATAACTTGTGTAACGTTGACTTAAATACCTGTGTTGATGCTTAGTAAAGCGTTCTTGATCCAAGGGATTGGAGCCACATCGGATTCAACCTGACTCCCATTCCCCAAGGGCTGTACGATCCTACGAGTTTAGCGCTTGTCTATAAAATATGTAATTATTTTTATATTATGTAATAAGAAAATAATATTTTATCAAAACTTCAGTAATTTTTCGTAGCTGTTGTTTTGCTCTCCCGACACGGACGATCTAAGGACGGAGTCCTTGTATCTCTCGAGAAATTAGATGACCTTTTGAAAGGTTTCACAAAACGCTATCTTCATTCAAAACTACTTCACTAGACGACGTTTTGCTTCTTCTTGGACCATTATAATGGTCCAAGACGGACAGAAACGTCGTCCAGTAGTATATATTTCGTACTTGTATGTTAGCTGTGAATTCTTCAAGCCACAATATTGTCACTTGATTCTGGATACGCACATTACTGATGGTCTTACAATATTTTATAATTATTTATATTAAATTATTACAAATATACTCATGCACTTCCATGATGAATCAACATTTAATTAGTATGCTGAAAAAGACCGCAAAAGTTGACCGAAATATATAATACTCTTGTATTTTTCCATGTCGTATTCCTTTGTACCACTGATCATTGTTTATTATACTTTTATAATATTTGTAAAACACATAAATATTGCAAGATTGGGCAAACTTTTTTAAAAATTGAAGCTTTTATAGTTATGGAGAGTACTGGATGTACACGTTATCCAGGGTAATGCTGGGGTGGAGGCTATACTATGTATATATTGTGAAGCGTATCTCCTCTGCTATGTATGCACCGAGAACAGCAGTGTATGTACACATAGAGTGGTGTATATCTTAGTATATATACATTTAGAGTGCTCTTTAATCACTGTTTAGGATTAAGTGTTAGTCGACTGGTGTGGGTCGCATCCTGGGGGACAAGATTAAGGACCCCAATGGAAATAAGTTAGACAGTCCTCGATGACGCACTGACTTTCTTGGGTTATCCTGGGTGGCTAACCCTCCGGGGTTAAAAATCCGAACAAAATCTTATCTTATCTTATCTTATCCTTGACTGGTAGAGTGTAGGTGATGTGTAGCCTGAACAAACCTTGTGTAGTCGATAGGATTTAAACGTAAAACACAGACCAAGGTTCAAGGCCACAATTACCAAATAATAATAATAAGACAATGTTTTTTCTCTTGTATTTCATGATGGTCGTTCATTTGATACACACTTTTTACCAACACTTGAATACTTTCAGAAGGTGCTGGAGTTGACTTACAAAGGACTGGACCTTTTTTTTTTTAAGAGGATGTGACATTTAATAGGGTGAGTTGTCTAATATATTTTACTTGGATGCGGCCCTTAAAAATCGGCTAACATACAGGTGATACCTAATCTTACTGCTGAATGGGGAAGGACAGCAAGGGTGTAAGGAAACTTGCTCATATGTTGCTCCACACCAGGGAATCGAACCCAGGACCCTGTGATTGTGACTGGAATAATGTCACCAGTGAGCTACGTGGCACCCCCTTCCCCAGGGGGGTGGGTTACACAAACATTAAGTTGGGAACCGAGGTGCAGTCAGTGTGCCGTTGGCTGGCGTGTTGCACGGTTGCACACTCTCCCTGCTGCTGTGTCTTCACAATTATTCTCCTTCTCCATCCATTGCTACGTTCTCTGCCCGTCATGCTAGTCGACTCCTGCCTAAATTTCATCTTACCCTCGGCCACATATGACTTTACTCGAGCTGTGTGTTACGTTACATTAGTTCTTGTTTAAGGAGTCCAGAGTCTTGGTAATTCTTACCGAGATTAAAGGTTGATCCTCAAGATTAGCGGAAGATAATAAAGGCGAGTCCAATCAGTTGGCACCAAGTTCAACCTCCGGTACGTACATGTCACGTTATTGTATAGGAAACATTTTTGTCGTTATGTTTATTTTTCTAAATAAACATTTATATAAGTGCAGTGTTATACTATAATACCATAGTTTATTAAATGCTGATATTAGTACATTCTACGTTGTTGCAGTGTTTACAGTTACCGGCGCCACTAGAGAACCTGTAAGTGGCAACTCAGCCACTAGCTCACTCTCCCTTTATCTTAATATTACACATACATCCTTCCGTTGCATTGTATATTGTAATCTGCATCCTTTGAAGCTTGATACATGTATGTCAAAAGTTTGAGCTAGTTGGGATAATGTCTCTGAGAAAACCGTGGCTTCATCGGTAGGACAAAATCATAGAAATCGGGTTGACGAGTGAGGGAGACCTGCAGAAGCCAGACTGCTGGGAATACGTACTCTATCATTCACTCATTGATCTAACTTATTCTAAAGCCACTGCTCAAGGGAAGTTCATTTGATGGCGCTGAGGGGCTCTTGATGCAAGGAATTAGACCTGTTCTTCCCTTCCTAGGATTGAACCCAATTGCTTCCCGTTAGCCCAGGCGTTGTATAACCCCTACTGATTTAGCACTTCAGAGTATAATAATATAAAGCCATATATTTGTTGCTACGAAAGTATTTGATCAGATCAAATTATCATTTGTAATGATGACTGTAACCATAATAAATAACAATATCTTTAAATTTTTCTGCCAAACCAGAACCACCCTATGTCTTTTTCAGTCTATCTTGAGATTCACAAGTTATATATTCTGGTATGTTGAAACTCTTATTTATAAAAAAAAGTCAAAATAACAACCTGTTTCTCCAGACAAGTAACGTATATACTTTTACTTATAAGATCTTTAACTTACCGTTAGTTCTTACGTAACATTTTTATTATAATTTCTGATGAAATTAAGACACATGTACAACATCTGGGTATTTTTATTGTAGACGTTTCACCATCCAGTGGCTTTATCAATACAAATTCTAGGACATAACTTGAAGACAGTAAGACAAGTTATGTCCTAGAATTTGTATTGATAAAGCCACTGGATGGCGAAACGTCTACAATAAAGATACCCAGATGTTGCACATGTGTCTTAATTTCATCTTGCCGGTATTATATACCATTCTTGCCCATTATAATTTCTCTTTAAACGTTATTTAGGTTAGGTTTGGTTTGTTAGATTATATTTTCTTTAATTCATGATAAGCATTTTGGGATGTAAGCCCAGGAACAGCACTTAAGTTATAATTATGTATGTATGTTCTTTATTTGTGGATAAACAGCAAGTATATTATACTTTTATTTATCAGTTCGCAAATATATGTTGAGATTATTACCTACAATAAGTAAATAAATAATCTGAGGACGGTCTTTTTTTTCCTACAACTGATTTTTTTAACTTATCTCTTGCTTCGCAAGTTGATAAACTTACTTATATTGGGCTCGCAACGTAGATTACTTATATAGGGTTGTCAACGTAGATTACTTATATAGGGTTGTCAACGTAGATTACTTATATAGGGTTGTCAACGTAGATTACTGATATAGTGTTGTCAACGTAGATTACTTATATAGGGTTGTCATCGTAGATTACTTACATAGTGTTGTCATCGTAGATTACTTATATAGGGTTGTCAACGTAGATTACTTATATAGTGTTGTCAACGTAGATTACTGATATAGTGTTGTCAACGTAGATTACTTATATAGTGTTGTCATCGTAGATTACTTATATGGGGTTGTCAACGTAGATTACTTATATAGTGTTGTCAACGTAGATTACTGATATAGTGTTGTCATCGTAGATTACTTATATAGGGTTGTCAACGTAGATTACTTATATAGTGTTGTCAACGTAGATTACTTATATAGTGTCATCGTAGATTACTTATATAGTGTTGTCAACGTAGATTACTTATATAGGGTTGTCAACGTAGATTACTTATATAGTGTTGTCAACGTAGATTACTTATATAGGGTTGTCATCGTAGATTACTTATATAGTGTTGTCAACGTAGATTACTTATATAGGGTTGTCAACGTAGATTACTTAAATAGGGTTGTCAACGTAGATTACTTAAATAGGGTTGTCAACGTAGATTGCTTATATAGAGTTGTCAACGTAGATTACTTATATAGGGTTGTCAACGTAGATTACTTAAATAGGGTTGTCAACGTAGATTGCTTATATAGAGTTGTCAACGTAGATTACTTATATAGGGTTGTCAACGTAGATTACTTATATAGGGTTGTCAACGTAGATTACTTATGTAGGGCTGTCAACGTAGATTACTTATATAGGGTTGTCAACGTAGATTACTTATATAGGGTTGTCAACGTAGATTACTTATATAGGGTTGTCAACGTAGATTACTTATGTAGGGCTGTCAACGTAGATTACTTATATAGTGTTGTCAACGTAGATTACTGATATAGTGTTGTCAACGTAGATTACTGATATAGTGTTGTCAACGTAGATTACTTATATAGGGCTGTCAACGTAGATTACTTATATAGGGTTGTCAACGTAGATTACTTATATAGTGTTGTCAACGTAGATTACTTATATAGTGTTGTCAACGTAGATTACTTATATAGTGTTGTCAACGTAGATTACTTATATAGTGTTGTCAACGTAGATTACTTATATAGTGTTGTCAACGTAGATTACTTATATAGTGTTGTCAACGTAGATTACTTATATAGGGTTGTCAACGTAGATTACTTATATAGTGTTGTCAACGTAGATTACTTATATAGTGTTGTCAGCGTAGATTACTTATATAGGGTTGTCAACGTAGATTACTGATATAGTGTTGCCAACGTAGATTACTTATATAGGGTTGTCAACATAGATTACTTATATAGGGTTGTCAACGTAGATTACTTATATTGGGTTGTCAACGTAGATTACTGATATAGTGTTGTCAACGTAGACTATATAGTGTTGTCAACGTAGACTATATAGTGTTGTCAACGTAGACTACTAATGTAGGGTTGTCAGCGTAGATTACTGATAAAAAAAATCCATGTATAAGTTAAATACGTGTTTATCGTGTTAATCGTTGCTTTATACGTAACTTACATTAATTTCTCTGCATACTTTATTTAGGATTAATTTGGTTGGTTATGGTATCGTTAATTCTTGATTAACATTTAGAGGAGTTGGTGTTGCCAGTGTAACATGAGGCAAAAAGTTGAAATATCACTTATGATATTACGCGCATGTACAGTATGTTACTTATATCTGAAAAAAAAAATGTTTTGATTTATCATTCGTTTATATTCGTGTTGAAAATTCTACATGGGTAAGTTAACTAACCTACGACTCCGAGGAGAAGTTGGAAGTTTTCCTAATTGTCGCCATTGTGAATTCTGTCTTTGTTAGACCTCACCTCATGTCTTCCTCATTCTAGGTCTTTTTTAAGAGTGTAATTTGTGTTTTACGTGAGTTAATTGTGTAACCATCCTCCGCATATTTTCCTGCTCATTTGTGTCAATTTTCTAATACTGAGACAACGCGTCGCATTATATAAATTTTCAATGATATATAGAGTTTTAGTAAAATCTTGGAATTGCTGTTTAATTGCACGTCTTGAAGCGAAGCTAAACAAACCTATTAACGTTATTTCGATCACTTAGGCACTGCTGCCTTGGCTGCAGAATCCTGCTAACCAAGTGAAGTATTTTCCACATCCAGTTTAAAAAAGTTCTGTTTTTAGTGTGTAGGTGCCACGATTATGTTTGTTTCCCTAGGATTGAGACCTTATATTTGTCAACATTAAACAAGATCTGCTGCTTCCAGACCACGACGTTAGCTCATCCTGATCATCTTTAACCTCCCTGGGTATCGTCCTCACAGCTTGTCCACTTATTTTTTGTATTGTCAGCGAACATATGCCGCTGATTAGTTTCTCATCTAGGTCGCTTATCTGAATTTGAATAAAGATCCCAACAATGACCCTATGTGATACCTCTTGCAAGTTGTCCCCGGTGTGATTTCTCTCTATTTATGTAAACTGCAGTTGGGTCTGAAATATTGACAATGGCACCGAAACACACACAAAGCTTCAGTTAATCTTTCGCTTTCGATAAGAAACCGTTGTGTGACCCTACGAGTTTGGCGTCTAGTTTTTAATATAATCATCAACAAGAATCCCTGGCTGTGAAAACTTTCTCTAAGACTTGGCCGCATCCCTCACTCATAATATACAGTATTATCGTCCCTAATGTAGTTATCCTGTTTTTGTTTAATTTAAAGAAAATTATTTTGTATTTGAGTATTTATGTAGCTTAGTATCAACATAAACATAATAATTTTTGTTTTAAAGTGTTCTATAGCATTTCGTAAGCTCAATCAAGTAATGCTTTGCTCCACTGCTTATTGCTTCATGCTTGGTGATGACTCGTGCAAGGTTGCATCGTGCATGGTGTTCACTCATAGAGTTACGGAAACACTGTATATATCCACATCTGTTACCCGTCTTGGTAACCCCAAGTCAATCTTAGCACTTTCATTGTTTCTCATCTCCCCCAGCAGACAGACAAAACACTAACCACAGCTCCGTAATATCTTTTGCGGATGAGACCAAAGTAAGCATGAAAGTTGTCTCCTGTGGAAGACAAGGGAAGACTACAGATCTTTCGGTTGTTGGAGGAAAATAACGTGTGATCACTTCTAACTGCTTTCAAACTGAGAGAATAAATTTAATCGAGCCAAGAATTAAACACGCGGATATACATTTTTTTACAGACCGGAAAGAACAAATTGAAAAACTAAGAATAATAATGTGACGAACTTTTAGAAAATGCGCTAAAAATTTAGTCAAGGCCAAGAAAACGGCTTTTTGGATTATGAGACGTTTCAAAAAAAAAAAAAAAAGCAAGAGGAAATAGTACTCTATAGGCTAGAGCACTGATATCATTGCTCTATAGCAAGAAAATAGTACCCTTAAGTTAAATATTGTTCCATGTTCACTGCTTCTT